TAATGTGTCAGAAGTTGTCCTGGAACCCAAGGTATAAGCAGCTTCTGTGGATTCTTCCCTAACGTGCACTGACAGTTGGGAATTTCTTTGTGGCTTGTGTGGTCCGGTTGCTAGAAGTTTCAGGCTGTGATTTGGAGAGTCTGGCCATCATAGTGCACAAGAGCCCTCTATCCACAGACATGCAGAGTTGTGAATATGAAAGCAGCTGGATGGTAATTGAAACTTGCAGCTTAGAGCATCTGCCTGATGATGTTGTATGTGGAATCAGTCTTGGCCCTTTTCTATCTTAATGAGCATGGTATCTGATTTGGGCATCTTTGAGATAACTCCAGGATTACCCAAACAGATTGTTATGTAAACTTTATTATAAATAAGGCAGGTCTTTTGTTTATTTTTTTAAGATTTATTGTTTTCTTTATTTATGTGTACATCTGTGTCTGTATATGAGGGTGCCTGAGGAGGCCAGAAGAGGCATCAGGTCCCCTGGAGCTGGATTTACGGCCCACCCAGTGTGAGTGTTGGGAATCAAACTCTGTCTTCTCCAAGAAGAGCAAGTACTCTTAACCCTTGAGCCATCTCTCCAGTCCAATAAACGGGTCTTTAAAAATATTCATTTTAATGCTGGGCATGGTGGTGCATGCCTTTAATCCCAGCACTTGGGAGGCAGAGGCAGTTGTATCTCTCTGAGAGTGAGGCCTGCCTTTTCTACATAGTAAGTTCTGGGCTAGCTGGGACTGCAAAGAAACCCTGTCTCAGAAAAACAAAAGCAAACAACAACAAAGCATTCATTATAAATTTAGATAAAAACAGATTAAGTAAACAGGTACATAATTTCATTTATGTGGTTTTTGGGTTTTTTTTTCTTTTTTGGTCTTTTTGAGACAGGATCTCCCTGTAGCCCTGGCTGGCCTCGAACTCACAGAGTTTTCTACCTCCCAAGTTCTGGGATTAAAAGTGTGTGCCACCACACCTGGCTTATGTGGATTGTTTTAAAGCCATGCCTTTTCAGTAAGTTCCCAAGAGCATGTCTAGAGCCATGCACTTAGTGAAAATGGCTTCTGGGTCCATGAAAGGCTTTAGTAGGATGGGATCCTGTTTGAAAATGAAGTCTGCTCTGCAGTGGAGACTTGGACATAGTAATGGAGTGTGTTAATTTGGTAATATTCTTCTTTATTATGTAACTTATGAATTTCATGAACTCTCTACAGTTATTTTGACAGAATAATTATAGAATAAGTGAATATACCTAAAATAATAGAAATTGAACCTATACCTAAGCATTCAATCTTAAGAACTACTGGATATATTTTTTGTCCAAATGTAAATGTCTTTGAGTTAAACATAGATTGATCATTCTGTAACCCATTTAGGAACAAGAGCATCATGATTCTCAGCCTTTGGATAAATTTGATATTCCTTTTGGTATGTATATGCATGATTAACGTACTAAGTAAAGTCACCTTTTCAGAAATAGATGTAATTGAAAGGCGAGACTAAATTATATTCATACTCCATGTGACAAATGAAGGATACATGCATTTTGATGCTTTATCCAATAAAGCAGTGTTTGACTTGAAGACCAGATTAGAGTGTGCTGCCTTTTATAAATGAAGCTGTATTGAAACATAACCTTTCACTGCTTCCAAACTATTGCAAGGTAGAGGAGTTGCAGCAGAGACCCGTAGACCTCTCAGTACCTAAATATTCACTGCCTGGCTCTGGACAGAGTTTTCTCACACCTGTTATCAGTTAATTAGAATCTCAAGTAAGATAAAAGAGGTCCAAATAGGGAAATTATGGGGGAATATGCTCACCATTGAATTCCTCACAGAAAGTATACATACATAAAAATATAGGAGTCGATTTTAGAGCAGTGCCATTTGTACAATGTCATTTTAAGTGAGTGTGTAGCACAGCAATTCTACAATTCTCTGACATCAGCTGAATGTCTGTGTCTGTAATTCACTATACTTATGACACTTAACTATAATAATTGGATTTAGCACAGATCCCACAAGTGAGAAGAGCCTTGGCCCCTTAAGAGCACTTCACTTTAGGAAAAGTTACACACAGGTCCCCAGACTATCTTCATTGCTGCCTGACTGCCTGCAAATTAAATGGTTCCTTTGACTGTCCCTCTCCTGCTCCCCAGGTTCAGTAATTCAGTAAAGCAGCTCACAGAACGTGGGCCAGCACTTCAGATTACACTGTTTTCATGAAGGCTACAAGTCGGGAACCAGTCAAATGGAAGAGATGTTTATGACAGAGGGGAGGTGGTCAGCAGAGTCTTTTACCCTCTCTAGGTAGCTTACTTTCCTAGCATATCCACCAACCCCTGAGCTGTTTGTTTCAGAATTTTTATTAAGGTTTTGGTACTTAGGCATACTTTACCAAATCACTGCCACCATCATTGCACTCAATCTCTAGCTCCCTCCTTTCCCGGCAGGTGGAGGTAGGGTAGGTACTAACCCTCCAGTCACCTAACTGGTTCCTTTGGTGACCAGCACCCAGGCTGAAAGCTGTTTAGGAATCTGCCAGCAGTCACCTTATTAGCATAAACTCAGATATGATCAACAGGGTCTCTAACAAAACTCACTCCCATTTATGAACTTTTGATGCTATTAAAAAACTCTGCCAGGAACTAAGAACAAAGTCCAAATTCTGCCATCCTGTACTGTAATTGTTATTTTTATCTTACCTCGTCTACCTGGGTCGCCTCCCAGGACAATCTGAATCTAAATCCAAACTGCCATATTACACCTCAGACTTTGATTTTGCCTCCTGCTGAGCTTCTCTGCTTAGAGAAAAATTACCTGTAGCTTGTGAACTTTGAACTTGCTATCTCTCCTACCTGTTCTCTCTCCATTAGTGTTAATATCAACTTCACCCAAAGCAGGTTATTTTGAATTCTGCCTTTTCCTTCCCCTCTTACCCAGTCAGTAATTTCCTTTGTAATACTTTTGCTTATCTTCTTGCTTACTTAAACTGCTGCAGAAGCCTTGTCTGATTGGGATCTAGGTTTCTAGGCCAAACACGGAGTCCTCTACAATTTTGGGTTTGATTTCACTGTGTCTTGAAGATGAAGTTTACACAGCACCTCATGCATAAAATGCACTCTGATTGCATCCCAACATCCACTTGGAGATCATGTACTGGTTTCCAGAAACATGCCTTCTCAATGTTTACTTTAAATGTTTTGTTATATTTAAGAAATGTTAGAAGATGATGTTAATACTTCAGCTGGACTGCATTTCATGGCCTCTGTACAAAAGAAAGCCACAGAAAGTCAGGATGCAAGTACAAACACAGACCCAGGTAAATCTGTCTTTTTAAAAAAATATTTTATTATTGCCAGGCATGGTGGCGCACACCTTTAATACCAGCACTTGGGAGGCAGACGCAGGTTGATCTTTGTGAGTTCAAGGCCAGCCTGGTCTACACAGTGAGTTCCAGGACATCTGGGGCTACAGGGAGACCCTGTCTCAAAAAGACCAAAAAAAAATTTTTTTTTATTATTTTTATTTTATGTCTATGAGTGTATTGCCTGCATGTATATAAGTGCACCCATGTTGTACAATGCCCATGGAGGTCAGAAGAGAATGTTGATTTCCCTGAAACTGGAGTTATGGACAGTTGTTAGCCATCATGTCGGTGTTGGGAATTGAACCCGGGTCCTCTGCAAGAGAAGTCAGTCCTCTTAATCATTGAGCCATCTCTCCAGCCCTGTAATCCCAGCACTTGGGAGGCAGAGGCAGGCAGATCTTTGTGAGTTCGAGGCCAGCCTGGTCTACATAGTGAGTTCCAGGACAGCTGGGGCTACAGGGAGACCCTGTCTCAAAAAGACAAAAAAAAAAAGTTTCTAGGTTGGGGCTGGAGAGCACATACTGCTCTTACAGAGGACCTAGTTTGTTTCCCAGCACCCATGTTGGGTGGCTACCAACTGCCTATAAGTCCAGCACCAGAGGATCCAGTGCCCTACTCTGGCCTCAGAGCACCAGCACACATGTGCACATACCTACCCTCCACCCACACACATATACATATACTTTAAAAAAAAATAAAATCTTGTTTTAAAAAGTTCACATATGGGGTCTAGAGAGATGGTTCAGTGGTAAGAGCACTGACTGCTCTTGCAGTTGACCCAGGGTCAGTTCCCCTCAGTTCTGTGATTAGAACTAATCTGGTCAGAGGGACATTATTTTAATTTTTGTTTCTTTCTGAATGAGAATGGCGCTGTCTATGATGTTTTGATATAAATCATGAGTATGCATTTGAGAAACAGGCTTTAAATGTTCTTATCTGGGCATGTCTTTGAGAAAGCTTTGGAGGTACTTTGCTGTGCTACTGGATGGTCTTTTAATGTTGACAGAGTGGCCACTAAGACTTAGGGGTGAAATCCCAAGAAATACATAATAAAAATCTTGTTATATTAATTGTTTAAAAGTAAAAGTAAGCTGTCAATGTACTTTCCCATCACCTTTTATAGATAGTATCTAATTATCTTCATTTTTGAAGATAATTGTCCCCATATTGATGAAATTCTTTTTCTTTTTTTTTTCTTTTACTTTTGCCTCATAGCTCTGTATTTATTACAAGATAAGGAAGGTCCTTCACAAGAAGTTTCTGAAAGTGGTAAAAATGAGCAAGTCATTTCTTCCATTGCAGGTATGATTTCTTTTTCTTCTGAGATAAGTTTTACTTATTAAAGTTATATATATGTAATGCCAAAGCTAAAGTCACCATCCCAATTTAAAAAAACAGTTCATCCAGGCAAGTGACTTAATTGAAATAGGACGACAGCTTCAGTGTTTTTAGTTTAGTTTTTCTAGTTTCTTGCTAACTTATTATTTAAATTCAGGCCTTGTTAGTATGGTTTCAGTAGTCAATATGATATGAATTGAATTTTACATAATAAAGTAATACTTTAATTCAAAATAAATGGAAGAAATTAAGACTTGAAATCTAGGTTAAAAGCACAGAGTCAAACTGTCTGCTGAGGGACTAGAAAGATGTCTCAGCAGTTAAGAGCACTGGCTGTTCTTGCAGAAGACCTGGGTTTGAATCCCAGCACCCACCTGGTGGCTAGCAACTGTAACTCCAGTTTCAGGGGATCTGACATTTTCTTCTGTCCTCTGTAGGCACTGCATGACACAGGTGCACTTAAACACATGCAGGCATAGTACTCAAACACATAAAATAAAAATAAATCTAAAAAAAAAATTTTAACTGCTGACCTCTGTAGCAGCAGGTTTTTTATTTTACTTTTGAATAAGGAACACATAACTTTTGTGAAGTTTAGACTTTAAAATATTTTAAGTTAGCTGGGCATGGTGGCACATGCCTTTAATCTCAGCACTTGGGAGACAGAGGCAGGAGGATCTCTGTGAGTTCAAGGTCATCCTGGTCTACATAGTAAGTTCCAGGCCAGCTGGGGCTTCAGGGAGACCCTGACTCAAAAAGACCAAAAAATTTAAGTGGTAAAAGTTAGCAGTAAGCTCCATGAATATACTAAAATCCATTGAAAGTAATTTATTTTTATTTTATGTGTATGAGTGCCTGCATGTAGGTAGGTGCACCCATGTAATGCAGTGACTGGGAAGATCAGAAGAGGGTGTTAGATCCTCTGAAACTGGAATTACAGTTTTTAGCCTCCATGTGGGTTCTGGGAATTGAAACCAGGTCCTCTGTAAGAGTAACCACTGCTCTTAACTGCTGAGCCATCTCTCCAACCCCCTAAAATTCATTTTTTAAACATTTATTTATGTGTATGAGTTTTTTACCTACAGTATGTATGCAAGTGCACTATGTGCATGCAGTACTCATAGAGGCCAGAAGAGGGCTTCAGATCTCCTAGACCTGTAAATAGGTGCTAAGCATTGAACCCTGGGCCTCTGCAAGAGCAGCAAGTATTCTTAACTACTGAGCCATATCTACAGCCCCTTAGAATCCATTTTTAAAGATTATGAACTATAGCTCAGTGAAGCTACTAATAAAAGTAAATAACAACGAACTGTTGAAAGCTTTAAAAAATGTAACTCATATGTTTATTTCCTAAGTTCTGGCATTTTTGAAATTCTATTAAATGATCATGATTTAGGCTGAGCATGGTGGTGCACACCTGTAATCCCAGGACTTGGGAGGCAGAGGCAATTGGATCTCTCTGAGTTCAAGGCCAGCCCAGTCTACATAGTGAGTTCCAGGCCAGCTGGGACTACAGTGAGACACTACCTCAAATACACCAATATATATACACACATATATATATATATGGACCATATATATCTATATATATAGACCACATATATAGACCACATATATAGATATATATGGACTATATATATATCTATATATATAGATATATATAAATGTGATTTAATAGATCTGAAATAGAAATAGAAAATTATAACATTTTATTATGTAATTTAGACACTATTGTTCATATGAGTCATTCATATAAGAAAAGTAGTATTATGGGGCTGGAGAGATGGCTCAGTGGTTAAGAGCACTGGGTGCTCTTGCAGAGGAAGGACCCAGGTATGATTTTCAGCACCCACATAGCAACTAACAACATCCATAACTCCAGCTTCAGAGGATCCAGTACCCTCTTCTGACTGCCATGTGCATTGCATGCACAGATGCATTGCATACATGCAGGCAAAACACTCATACACATAACATAAAAATAAATAGATTTTAAAAATCATAAAAATAAATTTAAAAAAAGTATTTTGTCTTTGAGTATGAATTTCCCAAGAGCACATTACCATTAGAAGAGAATTTAATTAAGTTTCCTTTATTTATACCCATAAGGCTTCTATTTAGGTTTTTTGTTTTATTTTGTTTTGTTTTTGGTCTTTTTGAGACAGGGTCTCCCTGTAACTCTAGGTGGCCTCGAACTCACTATGTAGACCAGGCTGGCCTCGAGCTCACTATGTAGATGAGGCTGGCCTCGAACTCACAGAGATCCACCAGCCTCTGCCTCCCAAGTGCTGGGATTAAAGGCATGCACCATCATGCCCAGGGCACTATTTAGACTTTTTTTTTTAAGTATTTTTATAGCTGGGCGTGGTGGCACACACCTGTAGTTCCAGCACTTGGGAGGCAGAGGCAGGCAGATCTCTGTGAGTTCAAGGCCAGCCTGGTCTACATAGTGAGTTCCAGGACAGCTGGGGCTACAGGGAGACCCTGCTTCAAAAAGACAAAACAAAAACAAAAAAAAAGTATTTTTATTATTTTTATTTTATGTGTATGGTGTATTGCCTGCATGTAGGTAAGTGTACCCATGTTGTGCAATGCCTGCAGAGGACAGAAGAGTTATGGACACTAGTTAGCTGCCACGTAGGTGTTGGGATTTGAACCTGGGTCTTCTGCAAGAATAGTCAGTGTTCTTAACCACTGAGCCATCTCTCCAGCCCAAAGCTTCTATGTATATTTTTAAGAAATAGATTTATTTTACATTTCTGATTTTTATTTTAATTTCCAGAACATGAACCTTTGAATGTTCCTCAGCTCTTGATTCCAGATGTGTATCTAAATGTCAAACTTCCCACTGAAATAAAGGAGCTTTCATCACGATCCCTACCTCATACGGTAATAACCTTAGTTTGTATACTGTGTTTTAGTAATCAGTTTTGTGCCAAACCTTATTATGGTCATGCAGACATTAAGCTCTTGTATGAATGAGATGAGAATAAAAATCTTCATAGCTTTGTAGTAACAACCAATAATTAAGTATTGTGCTATGTAGTACTATGAACAAAAAGCAATAATATGTCCTTCTGCTTTCTCCAAGCTAGGCATGTACACAGTCTTGCTTGTTACTAATAATTCTTTTTGTGGTCCTCTAAAGTAAAAATGAGTGATTGTTATGTGTTTAACTCAGACTGGACACACTTACATAGATGTGGTTGACATTGAAGCTGGTGATCTTCTGGAATTACCTGTCGGTGAAGAGCCGTCACATGCCAGTGTTACCAAGCAGCAGAGCGGTCATCCTGAAGTCCCTTCGTCTGCAGAGTTGCATTATATGGCAGCTTCAGTTGTTAATGCTGCTCCCCCACACAATTTTGAGAGTCGAGGTAATACATTTTTCTGACTTTTAAAAATAAATCAGGTACATTAAAAGTTACTTAATATTGTTGGGTCTGGAGAGATGGCTCAGTGGTTAAGAGCACTGGCTGCTCTTACAGAGTGCTCTTGTAGAGGACCTGGATTCGATTCCCAGCACCCACATGGAGGCTGACAGCTGTCTGTATCTCCGGTTTCAGGGGATCTGATGCTCTTTTCTGACCTCCACAGGCATTACACGACATGGATGCACTTTCATACTTGCAGACAATATACTCATACACATAAAATAAAAATAATAAATAAAATATTTTTTAAAGTTATTTAATATTGTTATTCCTACCCAAAATCTCCTTGGGCCCCCTGCAAATGCTGCCCTTTGGGATACTTGTGTTCACATTTAGAAATGTTCTGTTTGGGACTGGAAAGATTGCTCAGTGGTTAGGGTTAAGCGTACTGGCTGTACAGCACCCACATGGCAGCTAACAACCATCTGTAACTCCAGTTCCAGGGGATCTGAATGACACAGGCTACTTGATTACATGTAAACAATACACTCGTACACATAAAATAAAAATAAATAAATAAATAAAATGTTCTGTTGACTTTTGAATTGCCTTGCTTAGATGTTTACAATCAGTATTTGTGTGTCTTTTATATTCTTGGTAGAATCTTCCAGTCCTTCTCTGAGTTTAGTTTCTGAACCTGCAAAAGTAACTCAGTCCTGTCTGGATGGGAAAAGCTGGAGAGCAGGAGTTACAGAAGTGAAGGAGCCTGGGATCCACGCTGTGATACCGCCAGACAGACAGCAGGGCAGAGGTGAATAGCCGGGATGGGGACCCTCCCTCCCTGGATTCCTGTTGTTAGAAACAAACATTGATACTTGGGAATTGCAAGACACTTGAAAGAGACTTGTCCTTTAATAAGTGAAAAGGAATAAAGGAGGTGCAGCCATGGTTCCAAGGCTGGGCCCACAGTCCTTTGCAAAGAGGCTTCAGATCTACTTGTGCGCTTGTCTTTTCTCAGGTATGAGGCCCAAAGTAAGCATCTTGTTGGAGTACATTAATATTTTGATGTTAAAAAAGAATTCTCATCTTTAAAAGAATGGGATTTGGGGTTGACCATATAGTTAGCTGGTAAAGTTCTTGCTTGTACAAGCCCGACAACTTGAGTTCAGTCCTGGAATTCCGAAGTGGAAGGAGAGAATTAGCTCTCAGAAGTTGTTCTCTGATTGCCACATGTTTGGTGGCACCTCCGCCCATATACATACATCATACACTAATAAAATATGTGCACACACACACACACACACACACACACACACACACACACACACACATGGAAATTGTGTAATAGCACATAGAAAATACACAGGCATGGTAGCCTGTGGTACTTAACTAGTAAAATACTCGGTTTTATAGTGATAAATTGGGTTATATTATGGTAAACACAATTGTAAAATTTAGAAGAATGTTTCTCTTACTGTCTAAAGTTATTACATTTATGAATAATTAGATTAATCCAGTACACAGGGAGACTTCCTGAAACACATCCAATGTCTCTGCTGGGTTCCAGAGCTGCTGGAAGTCATAGGCCCACCTTATGGTAGTTACAGAGTTCGGCTGTACCTGTGTATGGGTATTGACAGTAGGTTTTGACTCAGGAAAGACAAGGAGCAAGGAAAGGATGGGTGGAGAGACCTTTACATTAGGACATGTTGAACTTGTTAACTAGAGCTGTATCAGCAACTTTATAGATTTGAGAGCCTTTGCCCTCTCTCTGCTATCATGGAGTGGCTAGGGCACATGGACAGTGTTGGGAGGTTGTATGAAGCTAGCTGTCTTTCAGACTGGGAAAAGAACTTGGCTTTTAGATTCAATACAGTAGACCTAGGTTTCAATCCCAACTGTCTCTTGAGATACAGTCACATTCTCATATGTTTCTCCTAACATATGGCCAAATGTTTGTGGCTGCTTGAGTACCCTGTTAATCTCCCTTCATTTTCATACCAATCTCCTGACAAACAGAAGCAGATCCTTCTCCCTGGGATATCTGAGTATCTTAGGCTAGCACTTGAAATGACTAAGCTATAGGTAAATTTCTTTTATTAATTGGGTCCAGTCCACAATCAACCATTTAAAGACTCTTTCCTTCAGGGGACTGCCCATTTACAAAGATACATAGATACAGTATAGATAGAGATATATGGGCCCTTCTACTCTTATTAAAAAGAACTTTCTTAATTAAACAACAACCAGGATATGATGTAGCCCAAATTGGCCTCAAACTCACTGTGTAACCAAAGCTCACCTTGAACTTCTAATCCCTCTGCTTCTACCATATAAGTGCTGGGATTACAGGCATACACAACTATGCCCAGTTTATGTGGTGCTAGGGATTAAATCCAGGGCTTCATGTCTGCTAGATGTACACTCTACCATCTGACCCTACATCCCCCCAACCCTAAAAATGCAAATTTGAAAGGAAAATTTTTCTAGTTTAGAATTTAACTCCAACATGATATTTGTATAATGTAAAGACTCACATTTGAGTGGTATTTGCATGAGGAAAAAAATGAGAGGGGGGTGCAGGGTGCCAAGGAAATTAGAACAATAAATTCCTGTGTTGGTGAGACCTGACACTATTTTGAATGACAGTAACTTCTTATTTTAGAAAATGTCTCCCAAAGAGACTGCATCAGCAATAGCAAGTTGAGTTTTGCTGGTTATGTATATGAGTGTTTTGCATGTATGTAAGTGCATGTGTGTGTACAATGCCCTCAGAGGCCAGAGAGGGCATTGGACCCCCTGGAACTAGAGTTAGGGATGGTTGTTAGCTACTGTGTAGGTGCTGGGAACTGAACCTGGGTCGTCTGGAAGAGCCACCAGCCCTCTTAACTGCTGAGCCATCTCTCTAGTCCCCATGTCCATCTTTTTGCTGTATTTTCTACTTGAAGTCTTTGTGCACCAATCTTTCCCAAGAGTAGAGGAGATAGTTCAGGCTACTGGAAAGATGGATAATAAAGAACTGTGAAAGTCAAGCTAAAACAGGTAGGGCAGGATCAACATTCAGTTACCATTGTCTTCTCCTGGGAAGGTTCACTTTAGACAGCAACCACAGAATATAAACAAGTTCTATTTGTATTTGTTTAGTAATTATCATTTTTCAGAGCATTTTATTGAATAATCTGATCTCATAAAACTTCTATGAGCTAGGTACAACAGACAAAATAAACTTTTTAAAAAGATTTTATTTATTTTATGTGTATGAGTGTTTGCCTGCATGTGTGTAAGTGGACCATGTGCGTGCCTGGTGCCCACAGAGGCCAGAAGAGGGCATTGTATCCTCTGGTAATGGAGTTAAGGGTAGCTGGGTGCTGGAAGCTGAGCCCGGGTCCTCTGGAAGATCATTCAGTGCTCTTAACTGCTGAGCCATCTCTCCAGCCCCCAAATAATCTGTTTTTTACTGATTTATTCCGTAAACATTTAGGGTCCCAGATGGTAAGGCTAAAATAGAGTAATCCCAGGGTGTCAGCCTCTGGGCAGTACCTGTGGAGGAAAGGAAAACAGATAAGTAAGTCATTTTAGGATACAGATCAGTATGCTGAGGGCTGTATGATGAGATTCATGCACAGTGTAGCATCTACTCTACTCAAAAGACGACCGTGGCCATTTTCAGGAGCAACACCAATGTGGATTGTTTAAAGGAAAGTTGGATGGGAGGAAAAAAGTACACTCCGACTGAAAGGGTTGCTTGTGCAATGATGGTTCTGTGGAGCCCGCTGAGTTTGGGAAGTTCAGTATTCTTGGAGGCAAACATGGTATTTGTTCAAAGCAGTAGCAAGAACTGAAGCTTTGGAGGTGGAGGGGAATCTGCCATTGTCCACCAGGTTGAGGCATTTAGACTGCTAAGGTGAAGGCATTGGAGACACGTGGAAGGGTTTTAGAGAAAAAAGAAAATGCCAAATTTGTGTTTCTTTTTTTTATTATTTTTATGTATATGAGTGTTAAGTCTGCGTGTAAGTGCACCTGTGTTGTACAATACCCACCCATGGAGGACAGAAGAGGCTGTTGGATCCCCTGGAACTGGAGTTATGGATAGTTGTTAGCTGCCATTTGGGTGCTGGGGTTTGAACCCAGGTCTTCTGGAAGAACAGCCATTGTTCTTAACCGCTGAGCCCCTAAATTTGTGTTTCTGATAGATCCTTCTAGGACTGTGTGGAAGGTGGACTACACAGGAAAGAAATGGGACATTATTCGAGTCTATATCCTTAAAACTCCCATTAGGTAGTATAGTTTCAGGCTAGTCTTCAAGTTACAGGCTTCTTCCTGCCTCAGCCTCCCAAGTTGCTAGGATTACAGGCACGCACCACCATACCCCGCCCAGTCTAAGAATGGAGATGTGGAGGAGGGAAAGTCACCAGTGCTTGGTGTTACTTTGGAGTCTGAAGGGGAGCACCCTAGGTTACTGGCAGGCCTCTGGCTTGGGACACATGAACAGTAGCTGTTCCCTGAGCTGAGGACCAGGGAAGAGCCAGCTGACAGGAGAAGAAGCAGCGAGGTGGTCTTGGGAGGTTGACTGCTTGCCTCACATTCCATGTGGAGACAGCAGCAGCCAACACTGAATTTAGGTTTTACTGTAATGCTGTTGGTTTTCAAAAAGTCATATAAGTATTAAAGTTGCTTTTTGGAATTTGTAAGTATATTAACGGATAAAACTGATTGGAAAGTAATATTATATTGGCTTAAAATGAGGTTATCGGGCTAGAGCGATGACTCAGCAGTTAAGAGCACTGACTGCTCATGCAGAGGACCCAGGTTTGAATCCCAGTACCCACATGGTGGCTAAGAACCATCCATAACCCCAGTTCCAGAGAATCCAACACTTTCTTCTGTCCTCTGGGGCACTGCATGACACAGGTGCACTTACATGCAGACATAACACTTATACACATAAAATAAAACAATTTAAAAAAATAAAATGAGATTGTCAGTATTTACCTCTTTTTAAAAATATTTATTTTAATTTTATGTGTATGCATGTATTGCCTGCATATAGGTAAGTGCACCCATGTCGTGCAATGCACGTGGAGGACAGAAAAAGCTGTCAGATCCCCTGAAACTGGAGTTACAGACAGTTGTTAGCTGCCATGTGGGTGCTGGGATTCGAACCCAGGTGTTCTGCAAGAACAGCCAGTGTTCTTAACCATTGAGCCATCTCTCCAGCCCCGTTACCTCTTTCTTAAGTGTATAGTTAATGTTGATTTTTCTTTTACTAATGTTTAGATTTGCCGGAAACAAAGTTCCAGTTCAAAGAACAGAGCACAAAATCCAACTCTGTGGAAGAATCTCTGTTGTGGACCCTGCTGCAGGATGTCCCTGATGCCTGCCCCTCACCACACCCAACTGCTCACCCTACACCAAGCCCTGGGGCTCGCCATCTAGAGCGTCTTACTGCCAAGCTTCAGAAGCTCGATGAGCAGCTTTTAGCGGTGCAGAAAATTGCGGAAAACATAGAGCAGGACTTCCCTGCACCTGAAATGCTAAATCTGCATTGGAAAAAGGTGTCTGTCGTTATTCTCATGGGTTTTGGGGGGGAAAGGGAAGCCTGTGGTGGTAGCTGAAATTGAGTCCTTAAGTAAGTAGAGTGATATAATTTTGGACATCTGAGTTCTTAAAATAATGGGAAATTTGTTTGTTTTCAGCTAGAGTATTTGAGTCTCAGCATTATTGACAGGCTAGAAATTTTAGTAAGTTTTTGTTTTTCTGTGTTCTGGGATCAAAACCAGGTCTTTGCTGAGCATGGTTGCGCATGCTTTTATCCAAGAACTCAGGAGGCAGAGGCAGTTGAATCTCTTGAGTTCAAGATTTGCCTGATCTACTTAGTGAGTTCTGGGCTATATAGTGATACACAGTGAGACTCTATCTCCAAAAAAACAAATAACAGGAAAAAAACAAACAACAAACAAAAACCTTTGAACAGTAGGCAGGTGCTCCCCAGTGAGCTCCACCCTCAGCTGCAGGTGACCTCTGCCGTCCCTTGCATTAAGAAGATTTGGCAGCATCCCTCATTTTTACTCACTTTCTGCCAGTAATAACAATGAGATGGGTCTCCTGACATTGCCAAATGTCCCTGGGACACTCAGATCCCCTTCCGCTGAGAACTACAGCCCTAAGCTTTTAAGCAGTGAGTTCATTCTTCCTGCCAGGGAAAGAAATGTGTGAGTTGCAAGACCAGAGTGTAGTTTGAAAAACCATTGTATTTATTTTTATTTTATGTGTATGAGTGTATTGCCTGCATGTATATAAGTGCACCTGTGTCATGCAGTGCCCACAGAGGTCAGAAGAAGGCATTGGATCCTCTGGAACTGAAGTTATGGATGGTTGTTAGCTACCATATGAGTACTGGGAAATGAGTCCATGTCTTCTGCAAGATCATCTAGTGCTCTTCCTATTCAGCTCTGCTTACAACATTCAACCAGTTTTCTAGTCTAGACTTCCAGAGTCTTCCACATTCCTCCAAAAACCCATGTGGTCAGGTTCTTCTCAGCCAACAGCCCACTCCTGGTGCCAACTTCTGTATTAGTTACCTTTCTGTTGTGATAAAATTACCATGACCAAGGGAACTGATAAAAGGAAGAGTTTATTTGGCTATGGTTACAAAGGTGTAGAAGTCCATAATGACAGGGGAGGCATGGCAGCAGAAGGTGGCCAGAGCACAAAGCTAAATGATCACATCTTCAGGCAGGCATATGTTGCAGAGAGAAACTAGAAATCCAGCAAGGCTTTAAAACTCTCAAAGCCCACCACCAGTGACCTGCTTCTCCAGCATGGCACACCTCCTAAAGGTTCCATGACCTTCCTTAAACAGCACCACAAACTGGGAACCAAGTAGCCAAATACTAGGAGCCTAGGGTACATTCTCATTCAAACCACCATAGCATTAAAAAAAATTATTGGGTTTATAGTATTTGTTTTTAAATTTATTTCTATCTGGTACATAAAAACATTGTACATATTAGTGGGGTACCTTGTAATATTTTAGTGCATACGTAATATACATACGTAATTTTGAACTCTGGTTAAACATATTTATCTCCTCAAACATTTATAATTCCTTATGGTGAAAACTTAGAAAATCCTTTCTTCCAGCTTTTCTAAATGTAAGGACATTATTGTACCCTGTACCTGCTGTGCAGTAGCATAAAACTGTCTTCCCTCTCATGACTGCATCAGTCATCCTCTCCCCACCCCCCAGTTCACAGTTCTCTCCAGTTTATGAGGTTCTTCTCTGTGATCACTTATTTCACTTAACATACTGATCTCCAAGTGGGGAATGGATGGAGAAGGAGGGGTCTGAATATTATCAACATGCATTGTATGAAATTCTGGAATCAGTTTTTTAAAACAGCATACTGATTTCTAGTTTTATTTATGTTGTTGCAAGTAACAGAAGCTTATTCTTTTTTTATGTCTGAATAATACTCTATTATGAATAAGTACCATATTTTCTTTATCCGTTATCCACTCCTGGATACTATGGCTGTTTTCATTTCTTTTTTTCTATTTGCTTTGTTTGTTTTTTAATGTGTCTTAGTATTTTACCTCCATGTATGTAATTGCACCCATGTTGCACAATGCCTGAAGAGGGTGTCAAATGCTTTAGTTGTTAGCCACCATGTGGGTGCTGGGAACCAAACCCAGGTGCTTTAAACTGCTAAGCCATCTCTCTAACCCCTGTCTGTTTTATGTTGGAGTCAACCCGTTGTATTCAGAGACTTGAGGGTGGGATGGGGCTGAAGAGGTTCACAGGATCTGATGTCCTCAGCAGGGCAGATCTTCTGGGCCACCTCTTTGCTAAAAGGTATTTTCATTTCTAGACTATTGTGACTCGTGCTGCAGTGAACATAGGAATACAGATGTTTCTTGGACATAGTGATTTTATTCCTTTGGATATGGGATAGCTGTATTTTATGATAGTTCTATTCTTAATTTTTTGGGAGATCTCCGTACTGTTTTCTATAATAGTTGATCTTATTACAACCCACCAGTAGTATACAAGGATCGCCTGTTCGCCACATCTTCATCAGCACTTGTAATAGTCTTTTATTTTAATTTAAACTTTATTTTTTTGAGAATTTCATACATGAGTACTGTATTTATATTATTTCCAACTCCTCCCCTTCTCCAACTCCTCTCATGTCCTCTCCCCACCTCTCAAGTTGATGACCTCTTCTTTTATATTATTGTTTTACACACACACACACACACACACACACACACACACACACACAGCTCTTCCCATGTCCCCTCTTCTATAAATAGTATTGTTACACACACACAATACACATACACACACCCACATAAAATTTAATGCGGGGGTGGGGCTAGAGGGCTGGAGAGATGGCTCAGCAGTTAAGAGCACTGACTGCTCTTGTAGAGGACCCAGGTTCGAGTATACCTTTAATCCCTGCTCTCTAGAGGTAGAGACAGGCAGGTTTCTGTGAGATCAAGGCCAGTGTGGTCTAAATAGTGAGTTCTAGGCCAGCTGGGGCTACAGGGAAACCCTGTCTCAAAAAAACAAAACGAAAACATGTAACGTTACCCTTATGTACATGTGTTTCTGGATGACTGCTTGGGATTTCATAACCTATGAGGGGGCTTGTCCTTTGACCCTGGAAAAGACTGATTCTCCTTCTCTCAGCAGCCATTAATTACCTGTAGCTCTTCAACTAGGGGTGGTGGGGCCTTGTGAAACTTAGCGGAATTGGTGTGTCAGCTGGTGGTGTCATTATGGAAGTAGCTTGTCCGAATGAATCTTGCCTATCAAGTAGTCCTTGGAGCTCTTAAAAAAATCTCTTGAAATTGCCTCCTGCATTAGTAGTAAAAGCACATTTAAAGCCACATACTTTACTTATTCGTGAATCTTGTGTTGATCCTGTCTATGAAAGATTCATTCCTTCAGTGAACATTTATTATCCTTTGTGTATATGCCTACTCTCAAAGGACCTAGACTTTACTAAATGATAGATGCACACAGCAGTGGATACATGTGTGCTTGGGTATCGTGAGGTATATGAGTATGCCTACTCTTGTGACTGGACAGGATAGATGAAGCCGTGGCATCAGAAAAGACTCTTGATCTGGTAATGGATGGATGGACATAAATTAGATAAAGGAGGACTAACAGACATCATGAGCAAGAGCATATGATGTTGGGTGGCATGAGATAGGGAACTGTATTAATGTCACTTGGAGGTAGAAATTGATGGGCAGCACCCATTGAAGGGAGCAGATAAGGAAGGAAAGCATTGTTGGCTGTGTCAAGCAATTGAGATTTTTTACCATTTAAGCTGGAAATAGGGAATCTCAGAGAATTTTAAGTGCTGAAATTATATGATCAGACATGCTGGCAGGAGTATGGAGGGCAGATTGTAGAAAGATGAGTTACAGAAAAGGTCCTTTGGGTCCCAGTGATTTCAAACCTGGTTGCTCATTACAGTCATCTTGGAAACTATTTAGGAGTATAAACACCTGGGCTTCTTTCCCATGATATTCTGATTTTAATAGGTCTGAAGTTGAGTCCAGGGATAGGTATTATTAACAAACTGCATAACTGATTCTTAAGCTACTAGCTCTGTTGTGGTCCACTGACAAGTGTTCAGAATTCACGGAAGACCAAAGACAAAAAAAGAATGTATATGAACATTAGAGTAGGAATAAAGGGTTATAGCAGGACATAGAGACTGACAGGCCATGGGAAGAAGATGCTGAGACTCCCAGTGGTGCTCAGAGTCCAGCCTAGGTGAAGAAGGCTAGGGAGGAAGTATGTGTTCCTGCACCAAGTACAAGAGACACTGATTTTTCTGTTAAGGACATGTTAAACTTGAGGTACTGAGATTAGTATGCAGCCTAATGGAGTCTTCTAGAGCTGAGGAATGAGGCCCAGTCTGGAGGGACAGATGGTGGAATTGTCAAGGAGAAGCTCAGTTCATGGTAGAAAGAACACATAGATTGAGAAAAGAAGAGCAAAGGAGAGAGTCCAAGGGCACATCACAGAACAAAGATGATGACTGTACAGGAGCATGCAGATTGAGGTAGGGAGATTCCAGAGGAAGCAGGCCCAAGGGAGTGGGTATTAGTTACTTTTCTGTTGCTGTGTTAGAAACACTGTGACCAAGGGAATTTATAAAAGAGTTTATTTAGCTTATAGTTCAAAACAGGCAAGAGTCCATCATATTGGGGTGGCATGGTGGCAGAGGTGGCTGGAGGAGGAGCAGAAGCTAAGCACTCACATCTTCAAGCAGGTACAGGAAACAAAGGGCAACTAGAGATCCAGCAAGGCTTAAGCACTCTCTAACCCTGCCCCCCAGTGATGTGCTTCCTCCGGCATGGCCATACCTTCTAAGACCTCCCAGAACAGTACCACCAACTGGGGACAAAATGTCTGAATACTTGGAGCCTATGGGGAACATTCTCATTCAAACCACTACAGGGTGTTTCCACAAGTCTAGGTGGACTCATTCAGACTCTCAGGCAAGTGTGCAAGTCAAGACTACGCAGGACATCTTTTCAGATACACATACTGGCTTTCCTGAATTTCCAAGGGAGGCAGAAGTGGACTGGCATGTGGGGAAAGTTTACAAACACTCTGATAGAGCTTTCTTCCACCCAAGCTTTTAAAGACTGGCCTGTGAGGACTGTATCTTGCTACACATGGGAGGCATGTGGTATGTGTGTGTTTAACAGTTGCCATTATTCTCCTGTATTTGTATTCTAGCAGTAATAAAATCACATTTATATCGTAAAGGTGTGCTGATAGAACAGTTACTGGTACTTTAGTATAAAGAAGGAATTCTAAAAACATTTGCTTAAGGTCCATGAGTATTTAATCTTGCAAGATTACCGCTTTGAACAATAGTATCAATTCAAGCAATAGGCTTGATATATTCGTTTAACGCACTTTCACTGTTTTATAGTGTACACATAAATACCAACACTTTGATTTGCCAATTTTAACAAAGCAGCCTGAAGACTTAGTTGAGGTAGGGGGCTACCAGGACACCACAGACAAGTCTGACGAGGACTTGAGTTGAAACCCATGTTGTGTTACTGTGACAGTCACTCAGTCTCTCTGGGCCTCATTTCCTCATCTGGAAGTAGAAGTCTTTGTCAGGTGATGGTGAAGTTTCTTCCCCCATTACAGAATTATATGAGACTATTTTTCTAAGCCTCAGGAAAGTTTAAGTCAATTTAGCTACAAATAAGTAAAAACTTCCTTTTCACAATTCCTGCTGTTCTGCTCCTACTAGATTTTATCCCACTTCTTTCAATTTTCTTGTTTTAACTTAAAATGCTTAAAACTTACATAAACTCGTTGATATTTTGACATTGCCATAGTCTAAACTTTGCAATAGTTGTTTTGTTGTATTCGTTTTCTTCTACAGACTAGACAGCTGGATCATGCTGAACTGTCTTCTGGCCGTGAAACTGAGAAAACACTGGCTTCAGAAGCTGTTCCCATCTCTGAAGAAGGTTTGTGTTCAGTGCCAGGGCATGGTATTAAAGTGTGGCTTCAGAAAAGAATTAGAAATACTTCTTATATGTGAGCTGAAGCCATTGTCCCCTCCCCCAACTCAGTCCCCAATTATTAAATGATTGTATTAGTTACTTTTCTGCTGCTGTGATAAAACACCATAACCAAGGCCACTTACAGAAAGAATACTTTTTGGCTTATAGTTCCAGAGAGAGAGTTCATAATGGCCGGGGAGGCATGGCAACAACTACATCTTTCTGCAGACACAGGAAGCAGCCAGCCAGCCTGGAAGTGGGCATAACTGTATACTCTCAAAGCCCACCTCCAGTGACATACTTCCTATAACAAGACCATACCTCCTAAAGGTTCCATGACCCTCCCCAAACCATGGTGAACTGGGGACCAAATGTCCAAATATTTGGAGCCTCTGGGGGACATTCATTCAAACCACCACAATAAGAATTATAATTTTTTCCCTAGGACAAGGATGTTGGGGATTGAACCCTGGGGCTTTATACATGAAAAGTGCATGCTTTATCACTGAGGACTATCCCTCCTTCCAGGATTATTTCTGTAGTAATGTGCTTGTTCCCACCAGAGGACATTAATTGGCCACCACCATCCCTGCCAGAGGCCAATAATCTCTTTTGGCTTGTAGTTCTGTGGGTCCCAAGCCTCAGGCTGCACACCGAGAGAGGATGGTGGTGCTTTGCAAAGGGACCGTTTGTGGTCATCAGTTGAGCTAGCTAGAATTTGAGGGTATTGACTTCATTTCTTTTTTGAAAGAATGAAATTATAGAGCTATGTTTTACATTCTTCAGTACCTGTAGTTGTTTACTTTTATTGTATGTATATGAGTTTGCCTGCATGTGAGTGTACCACATGAGCACCTTGTGCCCAGGAAAGGGTATTAGATCCCTGGGAACTGGAGTTATAAACAGTTGTTAGCCACCATGGGGTGCCCATGTCTTCCTTAAGAGCAGCCATGCTCTTAACCCCTGAGCCATCTCCTTTTAAAAAGAAAACATTTAATAATTTGTTCCTTTTTCTCTCATTGTGATCTCCTCACATTTTTCTTCTAGTTTACTAAGCCTATTTTCTATCTTTGTTGTCTCACCTATTCACTATTATTTTAATTTTGGTACTATATTTTTAAAAACTAGAACATTTTTTCAAGTCTCCCTGTTTCTGTTGTGTTCTTTTGTTATGGTTTCTGTCTTTTCTCAAATTTAATTCCTTTTTTAATTTTACATTAAATTAGTTCATTGACCTGTGGAAAGCTATCAGGATAACATGCTGCAACTTCTAACCTGTCTGTGTTTCATGTGGAAGTGTTAACAATCGTTACACTTTTTCTTTTAATTGTAATATATGCTCTGCAGTGTGTTTCCAGACTCGTGTGGATATGGAAGATCAAAATGATAAAAAAGAAACTTCAGAAACAGAATTTTCAGTAACTGAAAACCATTCCAGCCAGAAAACCTATGTATACCCTGCTGCAGAGTCCATCGCTTGCGTTTCCAGTGACGGGAATACTGCTTCCCTTGGTATTGTTCTTCTCTTTTTAACGTACATACCCTTTGTTTGGCATTAGAATGCTTCTGAACTGTACCTGTTGGGGTACACTCATGAAGGATTTGTGAAGTAATTTTATATTTACTTGAAGGAAGGAAAATTAAAACTTGGGCCACTCACAGAAAGAGCTTCATATAATATACTTCAGCTATGCATTACATATCTCTATGACATTTTAGTTAAATCTAAGTAACTGGACTCAGTATAGTATCTGATTTTCATAAAAATTCAAACTGCTAGCCAGGCATGGTGGTGCACAGCTTTAATCCCAGCATTCAGGAGGCAGAAGAAGGCAGATCTCTGTGAGTTCAAGGCCAACCTGGTCTACATAGTGAGTTCCAGGCAAGCTGGGGATACAAGGAGAAAACTGTGGGACTAGGAAGAAGACTCTGTTGGTACAGTGCTTACTGTATAAGCATGGGGACCTGAGTTCAGATACCTGGCACCCACAAAGAAAGTTGTACTCCTGGGAGACAGAGATGTGAAGATCTCTGGGTCTTGCTGGCCAGCTAGTCTAATCAAATTGGTGCACTACAGCTTCAATGAGAGACTTTGTCTCAAAAAATAAGGTGGAAGGGGGTGGAGAAATAACTCAGTAGTTAACGGTACTGGCTGCTCTTGCAGAAGACCAGGTTTGAATCCCAGCACCCACATGGCAGCTAACAACTGTCCATTAACTTCAGTTCCAGGGGATCCAACACCCTCTTCTCACCTCCATGGGTATCATACGACACGGGTGAGCTTATATACATGCACACAGAAGATTCATACACATAAAATAAATTTTAAAAATTAAAAAAATAAGGTGGAGAGTGCTAGAGGACGACACTTGCCACCAACCTCTGGCAAGCGCCTCTCACATACTCACAAACCCACACCCCACTAACAGGTACACACACATAAGCACACACGAAAATATCCAAAATTTTTATTAACGATGCTGTTTCTTTTTAAGGTATGAATAACAGCAATGAATTATTTGAAAGGTAAATAATTTTAAATTTGTATGTTAATATGTGTTTGGGAAACTGCTTCTCCTGTGAATGTGAACTTTTATAAAGGAATACAATCAATTTCCATTGAGAATGGGTGTTTTAGGAAACTGGGAAGTGTTATGTTAGATCTCTTGCTGTTTTGACACAGGCAATTAGAATATAGTAGACTGCATTTCCTGCATTCTTTTACTAAATATGCATTAAACTTCAGCAGTCAAGACCTATAGTACCTTGTAATAAGGCATACCAATACTGTGTGCCCCTGTATGACGCTCTAGACAGAGCATAGATAGCATCACTATTGTGATTGTCTTGCCAGAACACATGGTTTGATTTTGACCATGGGCAAAATGAAAATATAATGAGGAACATTTTATAAAATAACCATAGGATTTCTCAAAAGTATCGAAGACATGAAAAATACAAAAAGAAATTGTCTTAGACTTGAGAGAGACTAAGCTGTTAGGACAGCTAATTGTCATGTATGGTCCCAGTGGGCTCTGAATGGAAAAGGGGCACTAGAGGAACAAAGTTTATAGATTAGTTAATGATATGTATTAATTTCCCGGTTTTGACGTAAGATGAAGATTATGTTAGATAATAACATTTTAGGAAGCTGGGTGAAGGATGTGTTGGAATTTTGCTACTTTTTAAAAATCTAAAAGTGGGGCTGGAGAGGTGTCTCAGCAGTTAAGAACACTGGCTATTCTTGTAGAAGACCCAGGTTCAAATCTCAGCACCCACATAGCAGCTAACAAATGTCTGTAACTCCAGTTCCAGGGGATCCAACAGCTTCTTCTGTCCTCCACAGGCGTTGCACAACACGAGTGCACCTACTTACATGCAGGCAATACATGCATACACATAAAATAAAAAAATAATAAAATATTTAGGGGGCTGGAGAGATGGCTCAGCAGTTAAGAACACTGTTTTTGCAGAAGATCCGGGTTCGAATCTCAGCACCCACATGGCAGCTAACAGCAGTCCATAACTCCAGTTCCAGGGGATCTGACAGCTTCTTCTGTCCTCTGCAGGCATTGCACAACACAGGTGCACTTACCTACATGCAGGCAATACACGCATACACATAAAAATAAAAATAAAATTTAAAAAATAAAAATCTGAAATTATTTCAAATGAACAATTAAATTTTTTTCCACCTGGGCTTAGGCTTGAGTTGTTTTTTGTTTTTTCTTTTGCATCTATGAAGTCATCAGTTATTGATAATTAGGCTTTTCTACTAGAGATACCAGAAGCGTAAAATAGAAGGAAGACTAGGTGTGTGTTTCTCATTTATGCTCTTGACAGTGTTCCATAATTCTTTTTTGCATAATGTGATTAAGTCAGATACTAACTTCCATTTCTCAAATTCCATTTGTATTTGAAGTGTTTCAGGAGATCACCTCCAAGTTACTGGATTGACTGATGTTGCTGACATTATTGATGACCTTATAACTCAAAGTGGAGTTTCCAGTGAAGAGCTTGGCTTAACAGAACAGCAAGCTAGGAATATATCCAGGAGGTAATCATTGAAAGTATGCATGTGTGCACGTGTGTGTGTGTGTGTGTGTGTGTGTGTATGTGTGTGTATGCTGGTGTTCGGACCCTATGTCTTTCTTGTTTGTTTGTTTGGTTTTGAGACAGGATCTCTGGATCTTATTCATACTAAGGCTGCATTGCACCACTGAATTATATACTAGCCCCTAAGGAATTTTTAATCCATTTAAAATATATCTGGTTCAGGAATGTCTAAAATTGGCCAGTTGTGGTGGTGCACACCTTTAATCCCAGCACTTGGGAGGCAGAGGTAGATGAATCTCTGTGAGATCAAGGCTAGCCTGGACTACATACTGAGTTCCAGACCAGCTGTGGCTACAGGGAGCCCCTGTCTCAAAAAGACTCCCCCCTCCAAAAAAAAAATCAGTCTTGTTCATTTTTCTGTCTGCTCTGATCCTTATTTGCTTTCTTCTGCTGACTTTGTACTTAGTTTCTTCACTTTCTGTTTCCTTGAGGTATAAGATTAGGTGATTTACTTAGAATCTGTCTTTGTTTTAAAATTACGTATTTATTTATTTTTTAAATTTACTTATT